CCAGAGCAGGGATTGAACCCAGGCCCCCTGCAATGGGATCATGGAGTCTTAGCTACTGGACCTTCAGGGAAGTCCCTGATCCTGTTCGTTTTCACTGATGGGACGGAGATAGTTCCAGAGCCTCTGACAGCCACTTCACCTACATCAGCCTTCACCTGACCTGGTATGTGGTTCATACAATCAGAAGCGATGATTCCAAGATCAGGTGACTTTCCCTGGGGCTCCTTCTCCGTGTGTATGTTCTAGGGATTTTGTCTTGGGTGCAGGATTCTCTCAAGCTCTCATGTTCTCTAAACTTAACCAGGTTTTTGTGTGGTTTTTTAAAAAAATAATTTGTTTATTTTGGCTGTGCTGGGTCTTCATTGCTTTGAGGGCTCTTCTCAGGCCGCGGTCAGTGGGGGCTACTCTTCGTTGCGGTGCTTAGACTTATTGCGGTGGCTTCCCTTGTTGCGGAGCACGGGCTATAGGGCACGCAGACTTCATAGTCCTGGCTCATCAGGCGTTGCGGTCCCCACTCCAGAGTGCAGGCTCGGGAGTTGTGGTGCACAGGCTCAGCCGCTCTGCAGCGTGTGGGATCCTCCCGGCCCAGGAATCGAACCTGCGTCTCCTGCATTGGCAGACGGACTCTCCACCACTGAGCCACCAGGGAAGTCCCTTCCTGTGCTTTTATGAATTTGTTCTGTTACCTGGGGAGATGTGGTTCAAGAAAGAATAAAGCGGCAGAGGAGAACAACAGAAGTTCCTGTGCGTGCGCAGATGGCGTGATGTCCATCAGCAGCACACCAGGGCCAGTGGGATGTCTTTGTTTGGATAATGAGGACATTTAATACTTCATCAGGGGTATCCAGGGTCATGGAGGTCCCATGAGAGCAGCATGGTCTTCCAGAAAGGACAGGGAGTCCTGGTTATGCTGGCTGCTCTGTTCCTCAGTGATGGGAATAGGCAGTTTCAATGGAAATGATTGTCAAATGGGAACATAAGCTACGCTTATATTGACAACAGAATGGAAGGTTACCAACAGCTGTCCTTCTGTTTTAGTTAGTGACTTAGGCTAGTTTGAGGAACCCATTGTTTTAAAGAGTGACTGGGCCTCTTTTCTGTGAACCCTCTCGAGACTCCAGGAACTAGTCAGTGCCTCCTCTCTGGTTCTGAGCTCCCCTGGGGTTCCCATCAGCTCGTGGAACTTGCCACCGCGTATGTTAGTTTGCTGGACATGGGTCTGTCTTGACAACTAAAATGGCACTTCCAACCCTTAAGCTGAACAGGAAGGTGAGCCATTTGTTCATTTCCATTCACCATCTCCTTTCCAAATGAAAAAGTGCACGGCAGTGAAGTAGCAGTGGATACAAAGCCCAGACTTCGGATCTGAGTTGTGCCTCTTGATTCTGGGGCTCCCTGGAGGTAAGGGTCAAGAGCAGTGACCACAGTGTATCTCAGATGCTCCTCTGTTTATCAGCTTCAGATGTTACAGGGCAGGAGACTCGGTTAGAAAACTTGTTTTAAAAATTCATTTTGTTTTTTGAGTATTTCCTAGTATGAAGCATTAGAGTGGGCACAGAGCTCTGATTTTATACATATGCTAGATGATTAGAATCAACTTGGTTATGGAAACATTGACTAAGATGAAGACTACTTCTAGCTCTGCTATTGTAGTGTTCCAAGTATTCCTATAAAACTGAGTTTGAATCTAATACCAGTTTCTATGATTGAACAACTCACATGGTGTGTGTGTGTGTGTGTGTGTGCTCATGCACACATGTGCAGCATGAAAAGGTGAAACTATTTCTTATTCCACACAAAGCCCAAACCCAAATGTATAAGTAAACCTTAGGTAACTGACAGTGAGAATTCACTAGTTTGATAGAATATACAGACTGAAGATGGTGCAGCTCTGAACGCCCAACAGTGTTAGTGAGGAGAGAGAAGGGAGGATGATAATTACAATTTTCAATTGTAATTGCAAAGATTCTAATGAGCAATTTATGTAGATTGATGTAATGGGTGAATTGTGTGATTTATGAGGCAAAGAAAGCTTTCCTGAGGAAGCCATTTTTCACCCGAGTGTCTGAGTAAAGGGTAACAATATTGACTAAGATCTAGAATATTAAATGAAGATCAGTTTTGGAAAGAAAGTAATCTATTGAAATAAAGGTAAGTTACTTTTGAGATATCTATCAGAAATCCATTTCGAGAATACCTAACCCTTGTGGCTCAGCTGGTAGAGAATCCGCCTGCAATGCAGGAGACCTGGGTTTGATCCCTGGATTGGGAAGATCCCCTGGAGAAGGGAAAGGCTACCCACTCCAGTATTCTGGCCTGGAGAATTCCATGGACTGTAGAGTCCAGAGGGTCACAAAGAGTTGGAAATGACTGAGCAACTTTCACCAATAAACTTCAGCAAGAAGTTCAAGTTGGAAACAGTGTAGAGTTTTTCTTAGACAGGCTTCACTCAGGTAAGCAGAAACCATACTGAATATTTGAAACAGAGTGGATCTACTGCAGTAACTGGTTGCACAGGGCCTGACAGGTCGAAAGGGCACAGAGACTAAAAACCAGAGGACAGAGTTCCCACCTCCAGGCCACAAGGATGAATGATGATCAGAGATCTTTGGAGTTGACTCTGGCATCTTTTTTTTTTTTTTTTGGCCACACTCTCAGCTTGTGGGATTTTAGTTCCTGAACAAGGTCTTGAGCATGGGCCACAGCACTAAAAGCCCCAAAGTCCCAACCGCTAGGTCATCAGGAAGCTCCTGACCCTGGCATCTTTAAGAAGAGAAGAGTGACCAAGAGGAGTCTAAGAGGTCCCTTGTCTCAGTAGACAAGTCCCAATGGTGTGATGAAGGCTGAAGATGTTTCTATAGATTAGGAAGCAACTAGGGTGACAGAAAACATACAGTACCTTTCAAGTCATTTGGTGAGGAAAGGGAGAAAAGAGAAAAGGAGAGAAGGGAGAGCAAAGTCTAGGTAAATTTAGATTCTCAAAGGCAGTTAGTTTTATCCAAGCCTGTTGATCAGGCACTGCTGGGAAAGCCAGAACCGGAGACCGTTCCTCTGATTCCAACAGGTCACGTCCTCAACCTGTTGCAGTTGTCAGAAATGAGCCATAAAGATAAGTGATAATACCAGAATATTGTCCAAAAAAAGTTTATTTCTCAAAGCCTTTTACAAATTGTCTTGCCCCAGGAAAGTTTGTTTCACCACATTCTCTCCTATGTATTAATATATCTTTCATAGGAAGCAAGATTAACCCAGGAGATGAGGGAATTCTCTAGAGCAGAGCTGAGGGATTTTGCCTTCTTCTGCTTTGAAAGGGTATGGTGTCAGTCTTCTAGGATGAAAATGGCCCATGAGATAGGTTTTGCTCTGCCTGAAATCTGGGACTCCATATTTTGGCAAAACAGAATAAAGGCAAGCCTCAATTTGCTCCAAAGAGCAAGGATCCCAGGAGAGATTCTGGAAAGTGCCCACTTTTTTTTTTTGCAGCTGCTTTCAACTTTTTGTTCAATCTAACTTCTCATTTGAGCTGCTAAAAGCTGTTCCATCTTTAGTGTTGGCCTTGTTTTGTGCTCATCCAGCAGTTTTCTATAGACATGCTGAGAACACAAGACCAAATGAGAAGTCTGACTAGAGGAGTGACTAAGTCTGTAACTGTGTGATCTTGAACTTGGACTGCTTCACCTATAATGAGGGTGTTGAATTAGATAACCTCTAGGGAGCTGACTGCTTGAATAGACCATGATTTAATCAACCCTCACTGCAAGTGGCCACAAAGAGGATGCTACTCAGTCTGGCCAGCTTAAATTTGGACGAGGTCCAAACCTTTAGGGAACTCAATGTTCTAGATCAGACAGGGAACAGGAGACATTCTAAATAATTCCTCTGTATAAAGGAGAGAGAGGAGGAGGATGTGTCAGGGGTGCTGCTGAGGAGGTCACAGTCGGTGTCCAGCAAGGGGTCCGTTTACCACAGAGTTGAGTCTCCTCACATTGCAAATAGCAGAATCTCAGTGGAGACAGCCCCAGGTCACATGTCTGGTAGAAGCCAGGAGCATAACCTTGGAACTCAGTTCATTGACTTGCTCTTCAACCTTTTCATTCTGCCTCTTTTATTAATTAGTTTACTCACTTTATCCATCAATAAAGTAACTAACAGCCCCTATGTGAGGAAGGGGGATGCAAAGCAAACAACACAGAGAGCTTTCTTCCCCGCCCCCAACTCCTCCCCTGAAGCTTGCAGCCTAGAAAGGGTATTTCCTGCAGCATCAGAGACTGGACTGACAACTTCAGAGAATCCCGATGTGGACGTCAAGGAGAAAAGACCCAGAGAGGTTTGCTGCACTGAGATCAAAGCCAGAGATGCAAGTGGCCACAAAGAGGATGCTACTCAGTCTGGCCAGCTTAAATTTGGACGAGGTCCAAACCTTTAGGGAACTCAATGTTCTAGATCAGACAGGGAACAGGAGACATTCTAAATAATTCCTCTGTATAAAGGAGAGAGAGGAGGAGGATGTGTCAGGGGTGCTGCTGAGGAGGTCACAGTCGGTGTCCAGCAAGGGGTCCGTTTACCACAGAGTTGAGTCTCCTCACATTGCAAATAGCAGAATCTCAGTGGAGACAGCCCCAGGTCACATGTCTGGTAGAAGCCAGGAGCATAACCTTGGAACTCAGTTCATTGACTTGCTCTTCAACCTTTTCATTCTGCCTCTTTTATTAATTAGTTTACTCACTTTATCCATCAATAAAGTAACTAACAGCCCCTATGTGAGGAAGGGGGATGCAAAGCAAACAACACAGAGAGCTTTCTTCCCCGCCCCCAACTCCTCCCCTGAAGCTTGCAGCCTAGAAAGGGTATTTCCTGCAGCATCAGAGACTGGACTGACAACTTCAGAGAATCCCGATGTGGATGTCAAGGAGAAAAGACCCAGAGAGGTTTGCTGCACTGAGATCAAAGCCAGAGTGTCTTCTCCTCTTTCATTTGTGTAGCTGCTGCTTAGCTTTTAATTATTGACTCTTTTTTCTGCAGCAAAATGGCGTCAGTTCAGCTCTGCAGCCCCCAATCTTATCTTCAAAGGAGAGGCATTCGACTTCACAGCGACCGTCCATTTTCTGACAGCGTATCTGTCTTTGAAGACTTCTTGGGGCTAGAAAGCAAAGAAAGCAATTAGTCTTTAGTTATCTAGTACTTAATGCTTAGAATTCCCTGTCACCCGAATTCCAAGGAGATTCGGACTGTGAATCTAGCTATCAGATAAAGCAGATGTGACCTAAACAGCTGTGTCTGAACTCACATCCCTGGTTCAGTATGTACAGTGTCCTTCCATTGTATTCAATTAGGAAAAATGAAAAAGAGTTCCCTCTGCTATTGTCTTTATTGGACCTATACAAACAGAATGTTTCTTCCTGGGGGGAGACGATATACTTTTGAATTCCAATGAACAATCTTTTCCAAGAAGTGGTTTTTTTCTTGTCTCCAAAATAATAGTCTCTGATAAATAACAAAGATAAAGCTTGTGCTATTTACATTATAGGCAAATTGGTACTTTGGCATATGGTTGTGGAATTTCACACTTTTGGTATAAAGATTGAAAGAAACACAGTGCACTAGCCTGCTCCATAAATACCATCAACAGAATATTATCTTTACCAGCAACCTTACGGCAGCTGAGGCAATGTGTGCTCATTCAGAACAAAGAAACTAAGCTGAAAAGAGTAAAATGTTTTAAGAGAGGAATGATCGAAAAGATATTCTCTGGAAAAATAATTGAAAGAGCTGACAGTTATTTTCAAAAGGTTATATGCTTATATGCTTGCAAAGCAACTCTGGGAGGGATGTGTGCATATTAGCTGTCACGCATCTCAGACATTACCATGTTGAAAGCTTGTTGATGCCCAGGGTAGGACTAACCAATGGGAAAAAAAATGCCCAGAACTTAGATTTCTGCTCAGAGTAAAGGGAAACATTTTCAGTAGTCCAAAGTTGAACTCAGGATATTGTGAGCTATAGATCACTGAAATTTATTCAGCACCAGAGCAGTCAATTGATGTGTCATATGTTTACATTGAATTGGGGCAAAGAATAACAATAATAATGATAAGAACAATGAGAACTGAACAATAATAATAGTTAACTCCATCAAGTGCGCCTGGCACTGTTTAAGCAGTGTGTATAGAGACTGTCCCCAAGAAGTCATTTTCACCTTCCATCTGTTAGTAAGCAGTAGAACCTCTGAGTTTTAGCTGGCTGCTCAAGGAAGATCCCCTGGAGAAGGAAATAGCAACCCACTCCAGTACTCTTGCCTGGAAAATTCCGTGGGCTGCAATCCATGGGCTCGCAAAGAGTCAGACACGACTGAGCGACTTCACTTTCACTTTTCAGATCCTTAGCTAAAGACTACTGTTTCTGGTTTTCTATTTCCGTCTGGCCTCGTGAATGAGTTTGGACCAATGAAATAGGACTGGAGTGATACGAGCTGTTTCTGTGTAATCTTTTACTCAATTTTTATTCCTTCCTTTTAGAGCATCTTAGAATCAGTGACATGGTCATCTGTTTAGGATGGCAAGATTGACCTTCCTCCCTGGTCCCAGCATGGTTTACCTGATGGAGAAGAGCCTTCTTCCCAACCTACTCAATTGCCTATTTTGGAACTTTTACATGAGAGAGAAATAAACTCCCTTTTTTCTATTACTCTAGTTTAAGGGTTTGTTTTTTGTTTTTTTTTTCTTTTTAATGAAAACCAGTTAGCCTCTACTCTAATTAATATAATAAAATGTCTTAATCTTGAAAAAAAAGCCCTATTGTTATTATTTTTTCCATTTATAGGAAATAAATTGAAACAGTTCATAAATCTTATGAGGACTGGAGCTGAGATCAGCCTCAAATATATTGGCATTATAGTCTATGTTCATCACCTCTTTTATTAATCATTAAACCCACTTGCAATGCTGAAATTCTGTATGATTGTTGTTGTGGTGGTGGCCCTAGACTGCTCCTTATTGAGAAGCAAGCATGTCTGAGCTGAGTTTTGGAAATAAGAAGCTCTTACACATCTTCTACAGTTGATTTGAATCAGCTGGAGTCTGGATGGAAGGAGATGGACAGGACAGCTTAAAACTTGTTTCCTTAGCCTGGATCCATTGTCTGACTTCACCCTGACCCCTGTCCCCACCCCTGGCACCCCAAGAAAGAGACTGAGGCCGAAGTTAAAAAACTGACTTTACAAGAGATGCTTTGAAACATGAGGGCAATGTTCCTCAGCTCTGTTCTTTATTTCTAGTCCTGCGGGTTTTCAAAATTTTCAAAAATGCAATGCAAACAACGAGCTTCTAGGAAGCCTTTCCTGTTCCCCCTAGTTGGAAACAAACTTCTGCTTCTGTGGCTTCTCTTTTACTTTTCTTCTTCATGGCACTTGTGAGCACTGTTTTGTATCATAGTTATTTGTGATATATTTGCATTCTAAACTTATTGCATGCTTATTTGATATTATGGGCAACCTATTTTTGACCAACACAGAAATAATAGAGTAATGAACAGTAAGTAAATTTAGAGCAAAGGCCACATTCTAATGATCACCTCCACGTTACCTCCTTTTGTTGCAGTCCCTAGAATGATTTCTCATCAGTGGAAACACACATTCAGTAGATGTTGGAACAGGGGAGCTTGGCGTGCTGCAGTCCATGGGGTTGCAAAGAGTCAGACAGCACTGAGCAACTGAACAACAAAAAACTATGGTACTGAGGCCAGATTGTGCAGTGAGTAAGTGTAGCAATTCAGTCACCATGAAGAAGAAATAGACAAGATGCTGTATGATGCATGGAGAACCCCATGAGGAAAGGCTTCATAACAGAAGGAATGAAGGATGGTTGAGAAGTGAATGAACATAAAAGTTGATTAGGGATGAAGTCTTGGCTGTATTCAGTAAAAAGAACCCATTTCTAAGGACCCAAGGGCTTCAAAGAAAACTAATCAAGGTGTTAGTGCTTTAAAGGATATAATTTTCCATCGGTGTGTAAGAGCCAGAAAAAAGGTCCAAGGTAATCTAGGATTAGGAGATTTGCACCAGTTAGTTAGACTTGAAACAATAGACTAAGGACCATTATAAGTTTTGTTTCTCTTAGGCTACAGAAGCTATATTTCTCTAAATTAACAAGTTCTCTTGGAGTTTGTCTCTGACATTTTCTCTCATTTTAAAGCAATCACTTTGTCATACTTTGCAGTTAGGTCAAAGATTATAGGAGGCAAGAGATTTAAACATAAAGAGAACGCTGAACCCCTTTGTAGAGCTTTTAGGAAAATTAACAGGATACTCTTCTGGTTGAAGGTGGCCTGGATCAGTGTGGCCACATTGATTTGTGTCTAAGCTTAGGAAAAGATTCCCGGAAACGGGTTGGTCCGGGAACTTTTCAGGACATAGGGCTGAGTCATGTACTCTTCTGAAAGCTTGAGCTTTCTTCTCAAAAGATAGATCCTGAAAAGATTGTCATCCTTACATCAATAAAGATTTCCCACTTACCTGAGAAAATCTGAGCAAGAAGAATCATGGCAGCAAACATTAAGAAGAAGGTTTTCATGGCTCCAGGCATCAGTGGAGAGAGGATGAAGGAGGTAAAGTGGCAGGAATCTAGCTGCTTTATCGAGGGAAATTGATTAAAACAAGTTCTACAGCTCTGAAACAGTGGGACGTCAATTTTGGTTTGTAGTGTTCGTTAAGAGTGAACTATTTTCCATGCTCCACTGAATAATATGTGGGCTGCTGGGTCAGGTTTTACCTAAGTAAACACTTAGGAGAGAGTACTTTATCTTCTGTTTTCCTACCTGGAATGCTGTCTTCTACATCTCTGTTTAGATTTCTCCTATGTTCCCTAAACCCCTTCTCAAGCCCTACCACTTCCATAGCATCCATAACAACCATTCCTTTTATCCGTCTCTAAGATTTTGCATGCTGTTTGCTTTTGTAAGATTCACTCAGCCATTATTGATTGGCACCTGGTATATATCTTTTTCAAATTACACTCTATGAAAAAAAAATTATCTACTCATTTGTATTATAAACTCCATAAAGGAAAATAACTTTCTTCTCATCTTCTTTCTTCCCATTCATTCCTTACAACAGTGTTTTTAACAATAGGTGTTCAAAATATATGTATTTGACTTATTGGTTATTAGCTGGCTGGTTAGAGGAACCCATGAATAATCAAGCAATCAGTATGAGAACTGTCATGAAATGTTCATTTTACACATGTAAAATATTAATACTAAGGGTAATAATGTTAGTATTACATATGCCCATAGTTTATATTTTATGGGAATAGTATTCATTCAGCAAATGTGTTGAATAGTAAATACCATGTGTATTTGTATGTTACTAAGAAATTTGAATTTTATCCTAAAATCAAAGGAAAGTCGTCAAAGGGTTTTAAGTAAGGGAGTTGTCCAAAAGATTTGAAATGAAATAAGATATAAAGGGTTTTATAAAACATTAAGAGAAGAATAAACATTTCTATAGAGAAATGGACTAACGACATGAAAGAGCAATTAAATAAAGGAAAGTGAAATTGTGAAAGTAGTGTCCAACTCTTTGGAGTTCCCATGATCTACACAGTCCATGGAATTCTCTCAGCCAGAATACTGGAGTGGGTAGCCGTTCCCTTCTTCAGGGGATCTTCCCAACCCATGGATCAAACCTGGGTCTCCCACATTGCAGGCAGATTCTCTACCAACTGAGGCACAAGAGAAGCCCAAGAATACTGGAGTGGGTAGCCTATCCCTTCTCCAGTGGATCTTCCCAACCCAGGAATCAAACTGGGGTCTCCTGCATTGCAGGTGGATTCTTCACCAACTGAGCTATCAGAGAAGCCCAATTTATATAGGAAGAAACATGAAAAAAATCAAATGAGTTCCATGAACTCCTACCAGATGATTGTTTCCACTGATAACAAATGAAAGTCTGGAGGGAAAAAACAACCTACCCGAAGGATATGAAAGTTACAATAAAGACAGGCATGTTTTGGAGAAAAGTCAAACTTGGAAAAATGGACCAGAATGGAATGAGTTCTTTGATTGCAACGTGGCATGAAGCAGTTAAAGCTCCAAAAATAAATACGTAAAAATAATCTGTCACCTTGCTAAACTTAAGACAGACACAAGGACAGAATCAAAGTTACTTAAAGCTGGGGACTTCCCTGGCGGTTCAGTGGTTAAGACTCCATTCTTCCAGTGCAGGGGGCGTGGGTTCAGTGTCTGGTTGAGGAAATAAGATCCTGCAAGCAGTGTGGCCAAAAAGAATAAGAAAAGAGCATTCTGGAGGCCTGAAAGAGGGGCAGGTATTCCCATGCAAGGTTACAAGCCCAATACCGGCTGTGTGGGCTTTTTATCTCTCGATAAAGAAGTGTTCCCAGCCTGAACTTGCCTTCTGTTGCTGAGTAGAGGTCAAAAGACTATACACACAAGACTGCCATTGCCAGCAAAATAATAGATGAACTCGAGAGAATCTGTGTTTTGCTGTTGTTGGATGGGCTGGGCCATAGATGAGGTCTCGTGGGGTTTACTTTTTATAAAAATGGTCTTTTGTCTCTAGTAGCTGGTTTGTCTTCGAGTCTGTTTTGTCTGCTTTTAGTGGAACCATTAGCGCTCTCTTTTGGTGACTGCGTGCATGGTGTATCTGTCCTCACCCTTTTCCTCTCTGGTCCACGAGAATCACACCCATCTGTCTGCCCTATATCCTGAGGGCAGCTTCTCAGCATGTTCTGTTCTGGTCCTACCGTCAGAGGCGGCCCCAGCCACAGCTCTTTTTCAGGCGTGAGCACTCGGGGGTGACAGTCTAGTTCTCCAGGTAGCCTTCCTTGAATTCAGTCTCTTAAGCATTGATGTGAATGTGATATTTTCCTCACCTTTCCCCGTGAGAGGCTGGGTGAAGTCACAGTCACAGCACCACAGAGAAAGCCTGCCCCTGCCTACTCTAATTTTCTTTTATACCCTCAGGTAGGTACAAGGCTAAGGGTTTCCGAGCACGTTTTGAGGTCCGCCTCTTTACTCTCCTTACCTTTGCGGTTTAGCACCTCAGTCAGGAATGTGGAAGTTAATGATACTTAGTGTCTTGTCCTCTGCCTTTTGGGAATTTGGGCCAAACTGATCCGTCTTGCCCTGCAGCACCATCGTTTCCTTGCAGTTATTGTGAGAGGGCTTTGAGGTGGAACCCAGAGCCAGGAAAGGGTAATAGCCATGTAGCATAAGGCCTACAAAAGCTATAGCTTCAGAATTGATGGAGTTCAATCCTTGCTAACCAGGAGCATTTTGTAGACCAACTCAAGTGGAGACACTGTAGGAGAGAATCGGCCCCAGGGTCTCTCTTCCTTGCCACTTCTCTCTGCCCCATCCATCACCTAGAACCTTCCTCTTCAGAAGATTCAGCGGAAACCAATAATCAGAGATCTTAATAATTTACTGAGAAATCCACAGACACTTATCTGAGGCATCCGCTTGACATCTGAAAGGGCTGACTTTTCAAGTAACAAGAAGCTAGTATGAGCTGAGACTATATTATTCTGTAGGAAGGACCGGGTGTCTCAGGGAAAAAGAGATAACTGAATAGAGAAGTTCTAAAAGGAGCAAAGTATGGAAGAGAGGAGAGAGCAAGAGGAAGGAGGGAAATTTGTGAATGGTTGAGCATTTATGAGAGGTGCCCTCTGAGACCATAAGCCATCTGACTCTGGATGCCGTTTAAGGTAATGATTAAGGTAATAACAGGGCATGACCACCGGTCCACCACTCCGTAGGACTCTGAGACATGTACATGAATGCTGTAAAAGAGCATTAGTTCGGATCCAGAATACTTTCAGTTTTTGGAGTCAAGCAGTATGGGTTGTGGGATGAGTAAGGAGTACCCTGGCCCTGTGATGTTCTGTGAGTCATCAGCTACACTGTGGAGATCAGGGGAGAAGGACCATCCTCTGGCAGATGGTGAGTCACCAGATTTTTAGGACCAGTCCTCCACTTTCCACTTCCCTGAATTTTTTTTTTCTGTGAAAATGAAGGAAACATTATAGAGGCCCACAAGCATTCTATCTTAGATCCCTTCTGGAGAACAACTGATCAAATGGAAATAGTCAGGCTCTGTTGTCTGATCTATTTACATTCATGTCAGACATGAAATGGTTCCCACACCAGAAGCTTGAAGAAATAATTTAATTTAGACCGCTGGTGATCAAGTGTTGGAAGAACTGAACTTGTAGAATGGCAGCAGTGAGGCAACCCTAATATTAGCCACAGCTGAAATACCTCTCTGCCAGACGGTTGGAGGGAAAACAAGAGGCTCTGGTGTGAGCTCAGGAGCAAGGACGAGATGGTGGGAGCTGGGCCTGAAGTAGGACTTCTGGTGAGGGAGGCGAGGAAGCAGAAGCTGAAACCGAGAGAGACAGTGAGGGAGGGAGACCCCCAGTTCTCCTGTCCTCTTATCCACCACTCAGCTGCCAGGCGCTTGCAATAGACTGATACCAGCCAGAAAAACCAGAAAGCTTAGAGAATGTACTTTGCAGACAATATGCCAGTTATACAGAGCAAAGTAGGAAAAAAGACAGGCGTGGATCTGAGCGCAGAAAGACCAATGAGGCCATGGTCCTCTCCAATGTGGAGCAACATATTCACATATTAAAACTGAGTGAGCAAGTTTGAGTAGGGCCAATCATTTTGACCTTTATTTTGTGAACTGCAAATTTTTTCATAAGGCAGAGTTAAAGAGTCAACCATTTATGCATAGCCCATGTTGAACATCTTAAATTATCTGTAGCATTTCATCCATTGGCAGGAAGAGAAGGGCTTCCTTGGTGCCTCAGAAGGTAAAGAATCTGCCTGCAATACTGGAGATCTGGGTTCGATTGCTGAGTTGGGACAATCCCCTGGAAGAGGGCATGGCAACCCACTCCAGTATTCTTGCCTGGAGAATTCCATGGACAGAGGAGCCTAGCAGGCTACAGTCCATGGGATCGCAAGAGAAGAGAAACATAAAGCTGGTGTCCTGGACCTTAGCTGAGCTGATGTGAGATGTTTTTAAAAAATACACATCATACACTCTCTAACACCGTTGTCTTGGGTCTTCTTGATTATCGCCATGCTGAGTGGTGTGAGGTATGGGTCTGAGTTGCATTTCCCTGAGGAGTAGTGCTGTTAATCATCTTTTCAAGTCCCTGTTGGCCATGTTAATGCCATGTAGATGGACCTTGAACATATTATGCTAAGTGAGATCATCAAAAAAAGACAAGTACTGGACTATATCTATTATATGTGGACTCTAAAAAAGCCAAACATGTAAAACCCAGAGTAAAATGGTAGTTACCAGGAGATGGGAGGTGGAGGGCTGAAGTCAAAGTTGTTTAAGGGCACCAACCTGCAACAGGTAGTAAATAAACCATACCGATCTAATGTACAGTATAATGAATACAGATGACAGTTTTGCTGAGAGACTAGAACTTAATTATCCAAGCAGTAAAAAAAAAAGGATAAGTATGTCCTGTGATAGAGGTGCTTGACATCACTACAACAGAATCATACTATAATATAGAAATTTATCAAATTAATATTATGTCTTAAATGTACATAGTTTTATGTCAAAGATAGTCAATAAAAATACACCATAAGTACTAGAGTGAGTGACAATATATTGGTACAAGAAGAAATGATATGGAAAAAAGTAATTTGTTACAGAACTATAACTCCATTAACAGTGATGTGGATGCCATGTCCATTTATTTTGTGTTAGAATTAGTCCATAAGGATGAATACACAGAACATGGTGGTGGTCTGCACACCCTTTGCTCGTTTCCAGCTATGACCTTGAGCAAATGACAACCTCCTGGTTTCAGTTTCTTCAAATATAAACGAGGACAATAAAATCTACCATATAAGATGTTTGTGAGTCATATGAGAAAAGTATATGGGCAAGATTCATAAGTTATAAGGGACTCTATAAATATATAGTAATAGTATGTGACTGTGTGAGTAGCTGTTAGGTACCAACTCATGTCTTGACTTCTTTTAAATTTAAGTATAGTTGGTTTCCAGTATTACATTTTTTTCAAGTGTTCAACATAGAGATTCCTTGTTTTATAGATTATACTACATTTAAAGGTATTATAAAATATTTTTATTCCCGTGCTGTACAATATATACTGACAGCTTATTTATTTTATACATAGTTCATACCTCTTAACCCCCCAACTCCTACCTCCCCCTTTCCTGCCTTCTCTTTCCCCACTGGCAACCTTTTTAGAGATTATCTTCAAAAAGAAGCAAAGGAACAAAACAAAGGGAGAAGGAAATGAGAATGATCCTGAATTCACACTCACTGTGTGACTAGGTTAGGCTACATAACTCCTCTCCACCTTCCTTGAACATCCAGTCCCATTTCCGAAGAGAGCTGGTGTGGCTTACATGATCCTCCGTCGGCAACAGAAAAAGTTCACTTTGCAATTTCCGACAATCTTCTCGTCCTCATTGCACATCTTCCTGCATCTGCCCCGACCGAGCCAGCACGGCTCACAGGGCGACATACCACCTGCACCAAGAAAGAGCTGCTGACTTGTCCCTCCTAAGGACTCTCTAGGAATGGGGGAAGGCGCCAAGGCCATAGAAGAAGGGAAGGTTTGTGTTTATGACGATAAAGAGTGTTTTCAAGAAATAGCCTGGACTTCTCTCCAAAGACCTCCACTTTTTTCAGAATAGAGTTGGGGAGTTTAATGTTTAAGCAAGAGGAAGATATAATTCCTGTCTCTATGTGTTTAACAACTGCATGGGTCAAAAGTATACGTGCAGTTGGACAGTGTCATGTATGTTACAGAACTATAAAAAATACATACCTGATGCTGCTGCAAAAGTTACAAAATGAAAATGGGAGAGAGATCTTGTGGTTTTGAAAGATCTTTTAGGTAGTTTCAAGACTCAGGCTCAGTTTTGCTTGGGCCAGGTAAAGGCCATGTGTCCTCACTAAACTGCTTAGTCTCACCTTCTGTAAAAATGGTGATTATGATAGTATCTGCCTCAAAGGGATGTTTTGAAGATCAAATAACATAATGCGCATAAAGTTGTTAAGAGCTTGCTTGGTACATAGTAAGCACTCAGTGCTAGGGGCAGCCTTTGTCGCTCTCCCACTCTGAAATTCTGTCTGAACACTTTTAAATGTTGTTTAGAATTACCCAGGAATATTTCTTTCAGTTCTGTTTATAATATGCTTTTTTCCTATACTGGGTGAGTTTACAAAAAAGATCACTGGGCTATCCATTATGAACCGGTCATCTGCAGTGGTGAGGGATTTTCACTGAACCTCCCTCACTCCCTTCTTAGACCACTGGTATACATTTGGGACACAGTTTACTGGATTTAGGAGCAGAGGCTGTTAAGAGTTGGCTAAGTGTGCTCTGAGAGCAGTGTTAATTGGCTGGTACAAGCTTGGTCCTGTGACTTTGGTTTAGTTAGTACCATGATCTCATGAGAACAGCCATGAAATCCAAAGCCAAAAGGACAAACCAGTAACAAAGAGGTTTCTCTGTGAAGTGGAAAAATCCAGATACGACGCTTGGAACAAGAGGAAGAAAAGGTGGGGTTAGTCTGGATATCAGTTGGTCTGGGATGTCAGGCAGTTCTATTTCCACGGCTTCCTTGTCTCTGGAGGTTCGAGAGGCCAGAGTTGCTAAAAGTAAAACAGGGATTTATCTTACCTGCTGAGAGTGGCTGGGAATACTGGAGTCCTGCCTGGCACCCTAAATTCAAAACAAAGCACATTTTGAATATGAAAACCAATGCAGGGAAACAACACTGGGAAAGCTTTTACACAACACTGATAAGAGTTTTCCCAGCTCACAGAGCTTGACTCTTTATTCTATTTTTGAAGGCTGGAACTGCTGGTATCCAATAAGTTTCTTTCTTTTTTTTTTTAAGGACTCATAGTTTGCTTTTAGAAAACGCTACTGCCAGTTCAAGAATTGCCATGAGAAGTGCAGTGGGGAGCTGGCTGTCTCTCCTCTTCAGGGTGGTACATAGAAGAATCATCAGGCTTTATGATCTGTCCCGTCAAAATCCCATCTACTCTCATTTACCTGACGGAAATTGAGCCAACAGGAAGAAAAAGGCCAAGACAAAATAAAACACCTTCCTGCTCGGCGCCATCTCTGCGGGAAGACTCTTCAGAAGGGAGATTTGGGATTCCTTTGAGAAGACGAGAGGCTCCCTTATATTTGAAAGTAATGCGATGTGCTCTTGGTCAGTGAAGTGAATCCATAAAGAAAGCACACTTACATGCTCCGTTTCCCAGGATCAAGGACCGGGGTGATGCCCTTGGCCTCCACAGGGCCTTGTGTTGGGGGAATGCCTACTGGGCTGGTAGAAGGGATGCCAGGCTAGGAGCTGAGAGACCGGGGCAGCTCAGTCCTGGTGCAGGGAGTAGGAGGAAGCCCCACCTCACTCTCCCAGCTCAGCGAGCTCATCTGTCAAGCAAAGAACAACTCACAGTTGTTGAGAGTGAGCACAGTTACTCTCCTACCTCTTCCAGCTGGTCTGAGGATCTGGTGTGATGATGACAAGAATGTGTTGAACACGTGGAATGCTACAGGAGCCCTGGTGCCCTGTGAGAGCTCGGTAAGCGTGGAGTATCACTTCCCTGGCCTTCAGGCGTGCTGTCCCTGACTTTCCCAAGGAGAAAGGGAGGGGTAGCAGTCATTTTGCCAAGTTATTTGAGTCCTTGAGCCTGTAGAAGCCCCACTGAGAAGACCAAAGTCATAACTATCACATCTCTTTAATTCATTAAGAACACGGGTATTGGGACTTCCTTGGTGGTCTGGTGGTTAGCACTCCTTGCTTCCACTGCAGGGAACCTGGGTTCGATCCCTGGTTGGGGAACTAAGATACCACAAGCCTCGAGGTTTGGACCAAAAAATAAGGCTACAAAAATGGATGAAATAACCTAGGGAGCTAACAGACAAAAAACAAAAGCAAACACACACACACAAAAAAAAAAACCATGGGTATTAAAAGTTATACCCATATCAGGCTTCCCTGGTGGCTCAGTGGTATAGAATTTGCCTGCCAATGCAGGAGGCATGGGTTCAATCCCTGGTCTAGGAAGGTCCCACATGCCCCAGAGCAACTCAGCCCATTAGCCACAACTACTGAGTTTATGCTCTAAAGTCTGTGCTCCACAGCAAGAGAAGCCGCGGCACTGAGGAGCCCCACACCGCAACTCGAGAGCAGCCCCCGTTTGCCACAACTAGAGAAAGCCCGCATGGAGCAATGAAGACCCAGTGCAACCAAAAAACAAGTAGATAAATCAAAAAAAATCAATGAGATGACAAGATAATTGATAAGATAAATGAAACTGTGTATCACTGAAAATATCCAGAAGTTTGTCTTTTCTTGGGGGCTTCAGTCTGCTTAGGTGACGCTGGAAGGAAATAGGAGAAAACACATTGTTTTGGTAAATCATTTCTAACTGGATATGCGTAAAGAAATGTCTAACAAAAAAGTGCTGACAGAGGCTAAAGTTAGATAGGATATTCACCAACTGCTTCTTATTTTATTTTTTTTCCCAACTGCTTTTTAAAATACAGTTTTTATTTGGAAAAATTTTAGATGTCCTGGAAAGTTGCGAAGACAGTATAGAGTGTGACCACCTACCCACTACCCACAGCGCCTCCAATGTTAACGTCCATGGTAATAGTTACTCACATTAATAACCGTGGTTCACTTGTCAAAACAGACAGAGTCACAGTAGGACATGACTACATGGTAAACGCCAGGATTCCAGTTTCTCTGATGTTTTCTCCTGACGGGGACTGGGTTTGGGGTTTGGAGAAGGAGAGCACAGAGTGGTGTGTCCTTCCCAACCCATTCATCACATCAGGGTTACATAATGCGAATGTGACAGACCCCTCCTGAGACTGAGCTTGACCACTTGATAGGCTGTCCTGCCAGGCTCCCCCTGGCAGGGGGGATCATGTCTCACATGATTGCTATCCTCCTTCCACAGTCTGTTCTTTGGAAGCAACTCACTTTCCTTTAAACTGAAATCATTAAGTTCCAGCTCCTGGATCGGGAGTATCCACAAGTACCGATTGGAATTCTTCAGGGCAGAAACGTGTCTGTTTTCGCGAATGTATTTATATGTTCATTCACTTACTGATATCAGCAGAACGTGAGGAAGTGAACTGGTGAGCTTATCCAGATCACATATGAAAACCACCTTTCCATAACATAGCTTTTGAGGCATTTGTGGTTGGCTTGTTGTTGATTTAATTAATATTTATGGGAGTATAGTTGCTCTACAATATTGTGTTAATTTCTGCTGTGCAGCAAAGTGAATCAGTCATATGTATACATATATCCTCTCCTTGGGGGAGGTTTATGGTTGTTTCAACAAATGCTTCTAAGGTATCTTGACATTAGCAGTCATCATAGCAGTGGGGCGATGCGGATAGATGCATAGCCCCCTAATTCCACGTTTTCCTAAAGGGAGGCATCGTACTCCCTCTCTCCCAAGGGGGAGGGTTAAAGTGAACAGTTAAGGTCTTCCTTTCCACCCAAGTGTCCGTGGGCTACCTTGAGAGGAGCACAGGTTGCCACGCCTCACCGATCAAGAGGTTATCGGCCTGGAGAAATTTATAAATGTGTGTGCTTGCTGCTCCTTCCTCGTGGTCACTGTGCTGATCTCTCGAGAGCTGCAAGTCATGAGGACGTCCCTCTTTCTCTTTGCTGTCTTCTTCTTTCTGGCCCCAGGTAAAACGAGCACTTTGGCAGGGAAGGTTATCGGAGGTGGAGGCCCGGAGAGAGGATCTGTCTCAGTGAGCTCCCGGGCACAGTCAGCTCTAGAATGCTGTGAGCCCCCTCAGCCCAGGAGCCCTGCAGAGGGGACCAGAGGCTATTCTCCTCTAATGCCTCTGCTGCAAATCCTTTGCATTTGTTGTTGTCTAGGACGGGCTGTCACAGGTTTGAAGACATCGCGATATGCCAGAAAAGATACCTTTCAGTCCTCCCCAGTCTTACACTCACTAACAAAAACTTGGAAAAAAAATTAAAAGCAAGGTTAGCCATTGATGGATCCCTTAAAAAATAGTTGTGTTAGAGATTAAGACCGGGAGGGAAGAGAGACAGAGGAAGGAAGAAATGGATGAGAAAAGGGGGTGGAGCTTGGAGACACTGTGTATCACACAGCTGGTCATGGTGTTAGCACTTAAAATAGGAAAGCTTAAACTGCCGTTCCTTAATCACAGGCTGTGGTGCTGGATGCTGAGACGAAGCTGTCATGTAATGAAATGCATTTCTCTCTCCAGTGCCAGAGCCTTTAAAGGAGACTCCGTCTTACCTCTAATTTAGTGATATTTATAGCAACCTTCTTTGGTTTGGAAATGAAGTCGCTCAGTCGTGTCCGACTTTTTGCAACCCCGTGGACTGTAGCCCACCAGGCTCCTCTGTCCATGGGATTTTCCAGGCAAGAATACTGGAGTGGGCTGCCATTTCCTTCTCCAGAGGATCTTCCTGACCCAGGGATCGAACCCAGGTCTCCCGCATTGCAGGCAGACACTTTAACCTCTGAGCCACCAGGGAAGCCCAAATACATGTTACATGTTACATACATGTTACATAATTCAATACATGAATACATGTTACATGTATTTCACAGCTGTAGAGGTTAAGCTTTAAATAGGCTGAGAAGCTCCTCAAAGTCCTGCAGAGAAGCATGAGGGAAGCCAGGACGTGAAACCGGGTCTGTCTCGCCCCAGTAAGGGGAAAGATTCTTTCCTAATCAGAACCCCAGGACCTCCAAGGGCTCCATTTGAATCCCACCCAAAATTATAGTCCAAGGCTAGGCTCGTCCCACACCCCAAACAGCTGATCGAAGCGCTTTCTAGAACCGATAGTGAGTCCGAGTTTGTGCCAAATACCAGTGATGTTCCTGACATGATGCTCAGAAGTCTCACAGCAGCTGTGCATGCCTCTCTGTCTGCTCTGGAGCCACCCTGTGTGAGCAGATTCTGGGACAAGTGCACATGTGGGGATCTAGCACCTAAACTGCTCCTTCCACTGGCTTTGGTGGACATGCTGGAAACTGACCAAGGCACCCTTTCTAGATCAGTCATACTCAGTGAACACAAGATGATATGCTGCAAAGTTATCTGACCTAACTGAATGAAACTTACCTATCAATGAGCCATGTGTGCACACATAGGCAGGCACGGGGTTATGTCACCATCTAGATGGTGTCTGTGATGATCCTGAAGAAGCCCTGTAGGCACGAGGGTACGTGCTCATTCCAGAGGCCTTCTCTTTCTGGGCCATCACTGTGAACTGGACCTGATACAAGGACTCTTGTCAGAGTGAGGTCCAGCGCCCCTGGCCTGAGACAGCCCTCTACTGTTAGGATGGCACAAGGAGTGTAGTTTCCTGGGGTGGGAGCCAGCGTTCACTGAGCTTTGAAATACTGGGGTATTTAAACTTATAAACTTACACGCTGATGCTCATATGATTAGCACACATGCTAACACTAATCCATCTGGTTTTAATTTTATAGGTATGTGAATTATGTGCCTTTATAAGTTGACATGAATTGCAATTTGTATACATCTGACACTTTCATTACATATACCCAAATTGTGCAACTCTAAAATGTTGATACTGCTAAGATGTGTCGCCAGGGGAATTCCCTGGCAGGCCAGTGGTTAAGACTCTGTGCTTCCATTGCAGGGTCACAGGTTTGATCCCTGGTTGGGGAACTAAGATCTCGCATGGGATGGCATGGCCAAAAAAATAAAAAATAAGCAAAACAAAATGTTAAAAAAAAGAAAAGATGCACTGCCTGTCTTTAAGTTGAAACTGGCTAGTCCAGTGATTGCTCTTCATCAAGTACTAAGGCCAGAACTGGCCTCCAGTGCAGAGCAGCAGAAGGAAAGTCTGGGAGAACCACTCCCAACACAGTCCATCTTCCTGGTCTTGAACATTTTTGATGGAATGTGGCGAGAAAATGAGACTGAACCTCTTAAAGCAATCTCTCAACTTCTATCCACTACAGTAAACGTTTTGCTTTCTATGCATTTACTTCTTTTCACTCCAGTTCTGGGACATCTCTGCAGCCTCAGGTCTTGCTCCACCCTCACCAGATAGCATTTCGAGAGTGTGCTGGGGAAGCTTACCAACACAGGTGTTTATAAGAACAAGTTGATGGTATCCCAACAGATTTTGATAAAAGAACATTAGCTTCTGTTTCCCAAAGTTCGCTCCTCCACTCAACCCAACCTAATCCGACATACTGGACGACAGATCTGTCCTTCCTGGCCTTTCACCCTGTGTGACAAAATGACAGGAAAGTCAGATGGGAAACACTCCCCCACTGCCATCTTACTTACTGAGATGAGGCATTATAACAACTCATAAAGAAATCTTCACTGGTTAATTAAATGACTGTACCTGGTAACTAGGCATCTGTGAGAGAAGAATTAATCCAGGTGGCTCTTTCTTCCTTGTGTAGCCAGGAGTGGATTTTTTGACGAGAAGTGCTACAAGCTTAAAGGGAAATGCATGGAGTCTTGTCAGAAAAATGAAGAACTTGTAGGTCTCTGCCAGAAGTCTCTGAAATGCTGTTTGGCACTCCAGCCGTGTAGGATAAATAAGGAAGGCAGTTAAGATCCCAGAGCAACACGGATGACCCAGCTCCCTCTTGCTTTTACTCTGGCCTCCAGTAAGAAGACACTTTAATAAAAATAAATGACTGTCTTTGATCCCTTTGTCAAGTGCTTCACTTAGAAGGGGAATATGAGTAGCTAACCTTGATGGTTCCCGACTCTTGGTTTAATTTTCTGTAGTTTTTTGATAAGGGGCTTGTCCCTAAGCCACCTGATATTTCTTTTTAGAAGGGGACTAGATGTTATTGTAATCAACAAACCTCTAGTTC